GCCGACTATGTGAAATATGGACAGGCCAATGACTCTAGTAAAAATGATATATCTGCAGGACCTGGACAGGCCAGTGTCTCTACATACCTGTAGTACCTGGACAGGCCGGTGTTTCTAGTATACATGATGTATCTGCAGGACCTGGACAGGCCGGTGTCTCTACATACCTGCAGTACCTGGACAGGCCGGTGTTTCTAGTATACATGATGTATCTGCAGGACTTGGACAGGCCGGTGTCTCTACATACCTGCAGTACCTGGACAGGCTGGTGTCTCTAGTATACATGATGTATCTGCAGGACCTGGACAGGCCAGTGTCTCTAGTATAAATGACAGATAGGCCAAACACTGTAGGGGCTAATGGTAGCTCTTGGATTAGTATGGTTTTGAAGGCACTTGAAGACCTCCATCCTCCAGTATAAAAAAATGGTAATATCTAAAATACAGTGCAGTGTAAACAATTTTGGATCAGTAACTAAACTATCCGAACATCATCAGTATTCAAGTTGGATCAAAGGATTGGGATGAGGTTATTACCTTTGATCCAACTTGAATACTGATGATAAAGGCTAATGAAAAAATAATATAAAACCTACAAAATTTGTGCAATACACTAGTAGTACAGTTGTGACCCACAAAACTGTAACACATGCATGTAGAGGTGATGAGCCATCCTCACCCTGCATATCACTGTGATGGTGAATCTGTGAATATTCTAAAATATATACAGTGGCTAGGGCATCAATCTTGGGCTATTCAAAATTCACTGTACACTATGAAGGCCAGGTCATGCATAATCTACATCAAGTTATAGCCATTGATAGTGTACAGTGAATTGTGAAGAACCCAACATTCTGGCAGTCTGCCCCTGGCATATGTGAAGGGGAACAGCTGCCCCAAAGGTCAATACCAGCCGGCCCTGTATTTCGTTCTATGCAAATGGGCCAGTTGCATAGGTTATGACCAATACTCCTGTGGGCCGGCCTGCTTCTACAATGTGAAAAGGGGGCTGGCCGCACCTATAGTGACCCATACCAATGAGGGCCGGCCTGGTTGTGCAGTCTGTGCAAATGGGCCAGCTGCATTGGTAATGGCCTATACTCCTGTGGGCCGGCCTGCTTCTACAATGTGAAAAGGGGGCTGGCCGCACCTATAGTGACCCATACCAATGAGGGCCGGCCTGGTTGTGCAGTCTGTGCAAATGGGCCAGCTGCATTGGTAATGGCCTATACTCCTGTGGGCCGGCCTGCTTCTACAGTGTGAAAAGGGGGCTGGCCGCACCTATAGTGACCCATACCAATGAGGGCCGGCCTGGTTGTGCAGTCTGTGCAAATGGGCCAGCTGCATGAGTAATGACCTATATTCAAACATGTATGGCCAGTGCCATATTGAATATTTCTTTAAGTCTCAAGCACAGATATACAAAACATTGAATCAACTCTAAGCCATTGTGATACAAGATGTATGGAATGATATATCAAATATTTCAGACATTGTACTTCTTTGGAGGTGCTTTGTCTCTGGCAGAATGACGAGGTGGATCAGGAGGGGAAGCTTTCACCTTTTTCTTGGTTGGTTCCTCCACATCTGCAGCAGGCCTCTTACCCTTCCCTTTAGCATTGGATTTCCTCACCCTCTTGTCCACCTTGCTTGCTTCCTTAGCCAATCTTTCTTCTTCCTTGACCCTCTTCTCCTCCTCAGCCCTCTTCTCCTCCTCGACTCTCCTTTTCTCCTTCAACTTCATTTTCTCCTCTGAACGCCTCTTCTCAATGTCTTTCCTCACAACAGACAACCCCAGGCTCTCATCTTTCAGCATGGCTTCTACTGCTGCCCCTATCTCTACAACCTTTTCCTCAATCTGGTCGCCCATCTGGATGCCCAAGATTGAGTTACCCAAGTAGTCAGGTACATCATCTCCAGCTTCGTCGGCTTCATACTCCTGAGTACGATGACACTCACGAAGTAGGAGTCCAAGTCCCAGGGCCACAACTATGCCCCATCCACGAGAATTGAACTGGTAGTTACTCAAATGCTCCAGGGCGACTGAGGCAATTTTCATATCCTCATGGATGTCTTGAGGCAGATATGCCTGAGACCATGTCCAAGAAGCCCAGACAGGAAGATGCTGTTTCCTTGACTTTGAATCTGTTCTTTGCTTTAAAAAAGACAAAATCAATGTAAAATCATGAGGTTAAGAGATCTGACATACCGGAAGCTTCTGAACCGCAGTAAGAAGACGATGATATGAAGGGACAGTAGAGAGAGACTTGAGGTAAGGGACCATGTCCCTAGCAAGATGGTATTTTGGGCTGGACTCAGGAATGGTCGGAGTCTCCACCTCGACGTCATCTTCATCTGAAGAGCTTTTACCATTGGTGACCTTGTTCAAGAGTCCTTCCTCATCTGAAGAGACTTCAACATAGGCAGGCTTCGCCCTTGACTTGCCCTTTGCAGCTCCTTTCTTAGTGCGAGCATCATAGAAATCAGCTTGCCTATATCCAACAAAACGTACAATCGGCATGTCATGACTAGCACGGTCTTTCCAGTGGGAGTAGATTGCAGTGATCGTGTCCTTTTGGAGGTGGGAAGGATCCCTGATGACAACATTCTCAGGAATGCATCCTGAATCAAGGTAGTGAGTGGGATCGGTCGACATCTCACCCCAGGGCACCAGAGCCCTAGGATTGTTGGTAATAACAGCTGGGAAAAGTGAGTAAATGATACAATCACATAAGACAAATCAACTCACCGTAGGCCTTTTGAAAGACAGCCTGAACAAGCCGTTGTCTGTGCTTCAGCTTGAGACATACAAAGCCTGTGGGTAGGCAAGGATAACCATCATCATCGACCTCAACAGTGAGATCTGGGAGATTATTTTCATCGTCATCCTCTCCATCACTAACCTCTCCATCGGCTGACAGACTTTTAGCTACCATATTAAATTAAAAAATTAAAAGAGACATTTACCATATTCTCCTTCGAGAAGCCAGTTGGCAAGACGATCTTGAGCATGTTCTGCCCATTTCTGATTGTCTTTGGTCGCCTGAGTAAAAGGTTTTTTGGCCTTTTGTGGCGAAGTCTCCCAGCTTTAGAAACAAGTTAGTCATGATTAACAATATGAAGCATCAAAAACACTTACACAGTAGTTCCAGGAGCTTTTCCCTCACCTCGGTCATGGGCTGTAAGGATGACGACATGCAATCCCATGGTTCTCTGGACCATGTCCATAAAGTCCTCCATCATTTTTTTCTGGTTACGGGTATGGTATCTATTGATGTATTGTTGAGTTATATAGCATGTATGCCAATAGAATCTTGGGAAAAAAATACCTGTCCTTGGTATCTGCAGGAGGTCCTTCCTGGTTCCATTTTCCTGCAACTCGCTCAAGCTCCTTCTTCACCTCAGGGGACATGGCCTGGTGCCACATGCGGGCCAATCTTGTCCTCTGACCCATAGACTTTGGGTTGGAGGTATCTCTGTGCTGCTTGTCATATTCTGCAAATTCATCCTTAAATAATTTTTGGATGACATCAAAACCAGAGAATTCTGTCTTGTACTTCCCAGCATCCTCAGGCTTATCATCTTCCCTCTGTCTCACCATCTCTACAGTAACAGCATCTGGAGCAGATGTGTCCTTAGTTCCTCCCTCAATAATCTCTTCCTCTGCTTTGCGATCCTCATCATCTTCCAGGAAGTCCAAATAATAGGCACGAACAGCCTGTATTGATTAGATTAGTATAGAACACAATTATAAAAGCTCACTTTGTGCAGATTTTTCTCAGGAAGCATGACACAAGGGTCTTTGGCTGCTTCACTGCTGCCTATAGCATCTTTGATTGTCTTGAGGATGCGAGCCCTGATGCCAGAATTTCCTTTAGCTGCTACAAAGGAATCTTTGTGTTCATTCAACACATTGCTAAAAACAAGAGTCCAGCTGGCCATTATATCTGACAAATAAGAATCACAGGGATGCAGGCCGGTACAAGTTTGCAGATGTACTGTTGGACCAGACTTCATTGTTGAAAAACTCAACATTACAAACAAGGTCATGTGACAAACACGGTGTAGAGACTCGTGCGTCTCATGGTCTGATATGGCGCTTTACACGAGGAAGTACATAGCACGAACTTGTAGCGTCACTCTGTGCACTACCCACAGCTATCTCTATATGACGCGCAGCTTTCCCGCGCAACACGCGCCATGCGCGCACCATTCCCGCGCTTCGCGATGTATATGCGCGCGCATTCCTGCGCTTGCGCACCCTATGGCGCCAGCCATCCAGAAGCATCCATCCACTGTCCACCAAGCTCCCTAGTACGTATATTTCCATTTCCTTTATTAGCATAGTTCCACCTTTATTTTTATCATGGATTCTCACTCATATATATCTTTACATACCTACTCGGTAGCGCTTCGGCTCCGCATGACCGCGCTTAGGCACGCTGTATAAGTGCCAGCAGTACATACTATTAGAGAGGGACTTTTACCTCCCAATTACTAGTTATCACTTACTTACTACTTAGCAGAATATAGTAGAAGTCTATTTGTCTATACTTCGCATCTCCCTTCTCTTTTCTTGCATTATATTATCACTTGAGTCTAGTCTTTATCATTTTCCGCATACGCGCGCGCGCTTTCCCGCGCTTCGCGCTAATACGCGCGCGTGTTCCCGCGCCTTGCGCGCACCTGCGCTTTCTCGCACTTCGCTGAAGCGCGTACCTCTAGATCTTGGCTGCACTCGCTTCCCCTTTAGGGTCGAACGCACTTGTCTCCTCAAGTAACGCAGGCTAGGCAACGCACGACCTTCAACTATTATAGATACAGCTAGGAGCATTATTTGTTCCTCTCTGTATTGTTGTTTCTACAACGGTCATGTGACAAACACGGTCATGTGACATTTATGTTGACAATTTTCACTATATTCAAAATCCACAAAGTGCATCTACCAAAGTTTCATTCACAAACAACCAAACATTATTGTCTAAAGCTAAGACATATACATCACTCTGGGGCAGTGGTTGCACATAAAGAGTGTATTCTCTTTAAATGATGCAGAGCCATCCCAGCAGAGGATACAGAACTGTTGGGAGAAGAAGGTACATTAGCACACATACAGCAAGAAACAAAAGACTTACCTCATTGTGATGAACCGGTTTGGACATCTCCAAACTTTGGCCCCCAGCCGGCTCTCTAGAAAGGCTCTTGGCGGCGGTCTTGAGTATGTTAAGGTGTACACGTGGCGCTGAGCCACCAGTGCACTTCTTTGCAGTGTTTTTGGTGCGCACCATGATAGAGAACCTAAAATTGTAGTCAGTATGCCACAGCGCCACACAACAACAGTAAAAACTCACTAGTAACGAAAGAGACGCGTTGACAAGAGACGCGTGTCCACAAAACACGTGTTGACGAAAGATAGAACTAAATTTGTAGTTAGTATGCGACAGCGCCACAGAAAAAGAACAAAAACTCACCAGAAACAAAAGAGACACGTTGACAAGAGACGCGTGTCCACAAAACGCGTGTTGACGAAAGATAGAACTAAATTTGTAGTTAGTATGCGACAGCGCCACAGAAAAAGAACAAAAACTCACCAGAAACGAAAGAGACGTGTTGACAAGAGACGCGCGTCCACAAAATGTGTGTTGACGAAAGATTGAACTAAAATTGTAGTTAGTTTGCCACTGTGCCACAGAATAACAACAAAAACTCACCAGTAGCAAAAGAGATGCGTTTACAATAAACACGCGTCCACAAAACACGCGCGTTGAGCAAACATTGGCTGAAATAGTAGTCAGTATGGTCACATAGTCACAAACAAAAGAAATAAAACTTACAAGTGACGAAGACGCGTTGACAATAGAGACGCGTCCACAAAACATGCGCGTTGAGCAAACGTTGGCCTGAAATAGTAGTCAGTATGTTACATAGTCACAAACAAAAGAAATAAAACTTACAAGTGACGAAGGAGATGCGTTGACAATAGAGACACATCCACAAAAGACAATTGTGCGCAAAAACCAACCACAATTGTGCACGTGATATTCCGGCAAACAAGAACAAATCAACAAACAGTACATCAACCATTTCCATTTCTCCCACGGTTCGTTTCTTTCAACCTTTAACCATGTATTGCAACGCTACTCATCCTCCTTTACTCTACCATACCTTCCTTGCATCTGACCTTTGGCTACTTGCAGACTGCAGCTGCAAGTAGTCAAAGGCAGCGCTGCAGTCATCAAGCCCATAATAACAAGTAAGTTCTTTGTACATCTGCTTGACAATACTGATTTTTTTCATATTTATTTACAGTTCTTGTTAATAACTGGCGCGCTATCAAATTTGATAGCGCGCCTTAAAGGTGAGTCTTCTCATTCTGCCAGCGGCTCACTTTTCTTTAGTTTTTTTAGATATATTCTTGGCCATCCATGTCCCCAGGGACTGGCGCCTCTCACTTTGGGCTCTGGGGGATAATTTTTTGGCCATCCATGTCCCCAGGGACTGGCGCCTCTAACTTTGGGCTCTGGGGGATATTTTTTGGCCATCCATGTCCCCAGGGACTGGCGCCTCTCACTTTGGGCTCTGGGGGATAATTTTTTGACCATCCATGTCCCCAGGGACTGGCTGCCTTCATATATCTGTCTCTCCTGTTAAAATCTAATTTACTAACCTGCTCTCTAGCTTTATCAGATCCACTGAATTTTCCGGCTTGTTTTTTGTTTTGTTTTCAAGTCTGATTTGTGCTAACAGTGTTTTTTCAGCTTTATCTCACACATTGTCTGGTAGCGGTTTTGATGAGGTAAGTGTCTTTTCAAGATTCAAGATGATACTGATCTTTGCCATAGTTTTTGGTCTGCACTTGATGCGCCTCCCATTTTTTTTTGACATGTTTAATTCGGTAAGCATCACTTTGATATTCAACATCATACTAACTATCATTACAGTTGGCTCATTATTAGTTTACTTTTTTACTTTGCTTCATTTACTGTAGGGTGCAAGGCTAGGATGGAGAGGGCCCCTCCATCCCTGTCTTGCATTATTTACCTTAGTTTTTTCTATCTTAGTTTTTTCGACTCCGACTTGTACTTTGCTTGGTGTAGAACATAGACTAAATGTATCACCCTTGTATGGGCATATTCTGGACATGTGACTCATAACTTTTTGCCCAAAAATTAAGTCACGTGATCGTGAGAGTAATGCAAGGTGACATGCGCCTCACTGACTGCACCTCAATTAAAGTAAGTTTGGAAAGAATACAATCTGTTTGTTGCGAGCACATCATTTTTGTGAAGGGACAGGGCAGCTGCGCCCATGGTGTCATTAGTGAGGTTAAGCCAGCCTAGCTGATCACGTCAGCCTCACTGAGAACACCACAGTCTAACAACCAGTCTTCTCCAGTAGAGTAAGTTTGATTATATATTGTTCGAGCCTCACTCATTTCAGATGCTCACCTTCTATATCTAATAGTGAAAGAAAGTGAATCGTTTCTGTTGTGAGTACATGGCAATGCATGTACTCACAACAGAAACGATCCACTTTCTCTCACTTATAGATATAGAAAACAACAGGCTGGTCCAGCCTATGTAGTTCACCACCTTCTATATCTATGAGTGAAAGAAAGTGAATCGTTTCTGTTGCGAGTACATCATTGCCATGTACTCACAACAGAAACGATCCACTTTCTCTTGCTTATAGAAAACAACAGGCTGGTCCAGCCTATGTAGTTCACCACCTTCTATATCTATGAGGGAAAGAAAGTGAATTGTTTCTGTTGCGAGCACATCATTTTCATGGCAATGATATACAAGCAACAGAAACGATCCACTTTCTCTCTCTTATAGATATAGAAAAAAACAGGCTGGTTGAGCCTATGTAGTTCACCTTCTATATCTATGAGTGAAAGAAAGTGAATTGTTTCTGTTGCGAGCACATCATTTTCATGACTGTTGAGGTCAATGATATATCTATAAGTGAAAGAAAGTGAATCATTTCATTTTCATGGCACAGGGTGGCTGCCCCCATGGTGTTCTTAGTGGAGTAGAGCCAGCCTAGTTAATTGAGTCAGCCTCGCTCACAACACCACAATTAAAGTAAGTTTAATTGTCTACTGTCTCCTCTAGTAGAGCAAGTTTGATTGTCTATTGTTCGAGCCTCACACTTACTCTACTAGAGGAGACTAGCTATATGTGGTCCAATTTAAAATTTAATTAGGGTGTATTAGGCTATTACATAATGTGTTCTAATTACATCACAACTAAGTTCAGTCAACATGAGTCCGGAGCGCGAGAACTTTGGTTCACTTTTTTTCACTCATGAACCAAGTCAAAAGGCAGACAACTGAGGTTTTGGCAAGTCTTGACAGGAGGACCAGAGAGATAATGGGCAATTCATCTGAACTAGGGGTCCTAAAAGATGGCCAAGTTCAAACAGAATTGCTGCATAAAGCTAGGTAACTGTGGTTCTGTATTCATTGCAGCCAGCTATTAATGACTGAGGGAATCAAGGATGAGAATAGCAGTACAGCTACAGCAATGCTTGGCATCACCCGGTGATACCTTGAACTTTGGTTATACCTCAATTTCCGAATATGAAATTGACTGGGCCGCCCTGACCATTGCACATGCCATGGTCAACCCTAGTGAGTAGGTTAATATTTAGGGTTGCACATGAAATTTAATGGAGAATTACAGTCAATGTCAATTGGGATGTAGACCGATATACTGACAAGGTCAATTTGTCACAACCCAACAGGGATGGGTCAGCAACTGCTGAACCGGAGAGACTGAAGAAGTTCTTCCCTGAGGCTGTGCTCGGCAAAATTTCAGTTCCAGCAACCATCGTGGACAGGCACGGAAAAATTTTGGTAGTTCATCTCCCTGATATTTTGACAGCTTCTCGCATAGTATGTTTCTGGTTGGGGATTTTCCTTCAGGGCTGATTAATTAATTAGGAGCATCTCAATCACATCACTGGTGGCTTGAGAGAATCCCTTCTCAAAACTGTTGATCCTAAAGATGTCAACAAATGTTGGAGAGATGATGGATATATGGTTCTAGCTGAAGGAGGGGAATTTGGGGCTGGTAGAATTACAGTAGCTCCTGCATATTTCATGCAAAGACGGGAGGTATTGTATTTTCACTTGTTATATATATTGGGTCTAGGCTTAACTCTATTCTTAGCGACGAGTGGATCCATTGGTGACCTCAGAGTCTTACAAATCAGAGAAGGTCCAACAATGGTTAGCTGCCTTGACAACATCAGAAGTTCTATGGAATGTCATTACTGGAGTTGTGGCTCCGGATCTTTTTCAAGCTAGCAACTCTGCATTTTCTCAGGCCATCAAAGAAGTCCGTCATGGATCAAAAAAGAACCCAAAGAACCCTGCTCCAGTGGACTCTTGGCCCTCAATCTTTTCAGGGCTTGAAATTATTGCTAACCGTGTTACCTTTAGCCACAGAGATGCTGGTGGATCCCCATCCCTTTTTGATCTCCTGGTCAGTCTAGGAAGAAATCATCATGCCACTTTGGCCTTGGCAGACCTCCATGCAGAACTAGATTATTCCCCTGGAGCAATGGTCTACAGTGGCTCAAAAAAGTGTCCCAATGTTTGTAGCTTTTCATGTAATTGCTGTATCATGTGTCAAGCTGTGGGAATATGACTAAGCCATAGGGAGGTGTCGGAAGGGTCTGCTTCTCAGCTTCATTTCGGTTCCCTATACCGTGGGAAAATAACGACATTATGTGAAGATATGATCATTTTAATTTGATGACTCATTGGGACACTTTTTTGACTTTGAGTTTAACTAATGTAATCTCTATAATTCTAGTACTTTGTGTGACCTCCTTCTGCCCCAATCACTTCTGCCACTCTTCTAGACATATTCTCCATCAATTTTGGGTATTCCTCTTTGGTATTTTCATCATACTCTGTTGTAACACTGTCTCATAGTTGGAATAGCCCCTATGGTGAATCTTGATATGCTACAAGCAATTTCTTGAGTGATTCTCAGAGGTATTCAATATGGTTGATGTCTTGCATCTATGCTGAACATGATAGAATAGTAATATCATGGTCTGCAAGCTATTGGTGGCTGATTTAGAGGTATACTTAGGGTCATTGTCTTATCACAAAACAGTATTCTCTTCATTAACTCATAACTCCTGCATGCTTCTTAGCAGACACTCCTGTCAAATGAGTGTTTACTACTCTATATTCATCCTCCCCTTTACTTCATAGAAAATTCCTACTCCATTTTATCTCATATAGTTCTATAACATCGAGTTTTCGTCTTGAAACTTAAGTGTTTATTCAACTTTTCTTTATCTTAATGGTTGTGCTATCAATTTTAATACAAATTCCTTGCCATATGATCTCATCCTATTGATTTTAACCTCATATAACCAGATAAACCTCTTTCAGCTATTAGCAGTCTAATATTTGTACTTGAAAGTAGCATCTTGTCTTTTCTGTTTATAGGTTGGAGACAGAAGAATCTGTTTCTCTTGATTATAGCTTCAAAGTGGGCTGTCTTAAGAGTCTGTTTGACTATTTGAGTAGAGATAGTCATAGAGATGATGGAAATAATCAATTTAGTCACCTTTTTAGCATCAGTGGCCTTTCCGATTATAATATAGTGATTAAGAGATCTTAAGTCTTATAGAGCAACCTTCTAGATTGGCTACCAAATAACTTAAAGACCATGATATTACTATTCTATCATGTTCAGCATAGATGCAAGACATCAACCATATTGAATACCCCTGAGAATCACTCAAGAAATTGCTTGTAGCATATCAAGATTCACCATAGGGGCTATTCCAACTATGAGACAGTGTTACAACAGAGTATGATGAAAATACCAAAGAGGAATACCCAAAATTGATGGAGAATATGTCTAGAAGAGTGGCAGAAGTGATTGGGGCAGAAGGAGGTCACACAAAGTACTAGAATTATAGAGATTACATTAGTTAAACTCAAAGTCAAAAAAGTGTCCCAATGAGTCATCAAATTAAAATGATCATATCTTCACATAATGTCGTTATTTTCCCACGGTATAGGGAACCGAAATGAAGCTGAGAAGCAGACCCTTCCGACACCTCCCTATGGCTTAGTCATATTCCCACAGCTTGACACATGATACAGCAATTACATGAAAAGCTACAAACATTGGGACACTTTTTTGAGCCACTGTATATTGCAGGGCGGGTGCTAGAACATTCTGTTGGTCCCTGGCTTAATGGAGAACGGGTTGTAATTGCCCATTTCATGAAGGATGCTGTGCATGACAGAGTTGGGGTGCCAAGGCCATCATTTCCGATGCAGAGTTTCTTTTTAGAGTTAGTAGGAGGGAAGAGTCGGAAGAGAATAAGGAGTAGGAGATAGTATTGGGAAATTCCCATAATTATTTTTTTGGTGGAATCATTATGTAGCTGTGCCAAAATTCATGTGGTGCTCTGACCTCTGTTACCTTTGAACAAACCCATAATTTCAATGACCTCAAAAATCACACCAAGACGGAAAAATAGGGCCAGAGTAGCAACATCTTCTGATGATGCCCAGCCAACAAAGAGAAAAAGAGGTGCTTATAAATATACATACATCTCATCTAAAACTCGGAGGGGAAATGTTTCATGGAAAGAAGCGGATACTGTCTATGAAGACTATGACAGTGAGGTGGAGCCAACCTCACCGGTGAAACAAAAACACCACCAGAATATTGAAGATCATTCACTGGTTAATTATAACAGAGAGATATATGATGATTTTGGGACAGGAGGCTTAAATAGTATCCAACGAAAGACAAAAGTGAGTTCTGTGGAAATAATTATTCTTGAAAACTAGCCAACATTACAGACCCAAAATGATTTCCTCAGGGAATACTTGCCTTGGCGCAATGAATATCTTTCAGTGTTGTTGGAGTTGGAACAGCTGATCAACAATGGGAAATGTGAGGATTGCGGACGAGAGGAGGGCTTTATTCGTTGTCTGTCCTGCTCAGGAGAGCACAGCTGGTGTTCCTCATGTGCTGTCAAAGCCCACCAGCACAACCCCTTCCACAACCTTCAGCTTTGGAATGGCAAGTTCTACGAGTCTACTACCCTATGGGACCATGGGTATATAATGCATCTTGGCCATGGGGGACATCCTTGTCCCAATGTGTTGCAGCAGTCAAACCTGTCACCCTGGTCAGATCTTGGAGCCATGGAAGATGTGTTTGCACACGTGGAGGGGGATACTATTTATGAAACACAGTTGGGATTGTCTAACCTGGTCATTGTGCACTCCACTGGAGTTTACTCACACTGTGTATCCTGGTGTCAGTGTCCTGGAGCTGAGAAGGACAGACATCTACATCTGCTAAAAGCAAAGTTATTTCCTGCCAGCATCACTCGGCCTCAATCTGCTTTTACCTTCGATGTGCTAGATAACTTCCTCATAGACGCTTTGGAGTGCAAGACCTCAGCTATGAGTTTCTATCAAAAGCTACGTCGTTTTACCAACAATGCTTTCCCTCATACAATACCTGTGAGCAATTTCTTCATCATTGTACCCCATGCTTACATAATAAAAAGGATCGCTACCGTGAACTTATGCGGGTGTCTCGTATATGGAGGGATTTGGTCAATAGAATAAGGTTTGGCTTTGCATATGAGTCGGACAGATCTCCTGGTCCAGGGGATTTAGCTCTTTATTGTCCAGCATGTCCCCAGCCTGGCATCAACTTACCTTCTTCTTGGAAGGATACCTATGACAGGTAAGTTGGTTCATCAACAACTGTCCACTGAGCTAATTTTTGTGGTCGGCAGTTGGTTGGTCATGCAAAGATATGTTGTCGATGGAAATTTTACAGCTCAGCATATGAAGATGAAGACTCCAGAAGATGATGTTTCACTAGCAGACGGAAAGGGATACATGGTAACAGAAGGACCTTATGAAACTCACATAATAGAATCTGTGGAAGAGAAAGAGGCGAGTTGTCATATTTCATGACATGCATCATTAGAAATGATGTCTAATATAATTTCAGAAATCATCTTGCAGCAATCACCGTGCTGTGAATGCAGCCAATGTCCAGAGAAGCAACCTAAGAGCTACAGGAGTTGGGGCAACTGCATGTGCTAGGCATGGATGTTTTGTTCCCCATGCAGTAGTTGACTTCCAAAAGGGAGAGAGGTATGTTGGTTGCATTGTTGTACTACGACATTGGGCTGACTATATAGTCAGGCAAATGAACATGGACTATTCCATCTGCAATGCATTGAAATATCCATCAGAAGATATTGGCAGTGCACTCATAATCTATGATGTTGCATGCCAGTGGAGTATCCACTTCCATGAACGGGTGAATCAAAGCTATCACCTGTCTCTTCCTCAATCAATCAAAATATTGCCAGCGGTCGGCAAGTTTCATCTAAGCGCTCATAAGCTACTGTGCTTTCCCAGATTCAGCCTTAATTTTATTACAGGAGCTGGTCATATTGATGGGGAAATCTTGGAGACCCTCTGGGCCCCATTTAACAAGATTTCCCCAACTGCAAGGTCCATGACTCTCTCTCACAGACAGGAAGTCTTGGATGACCATATGAGGGATTCTAATTGGAAGAAGCTTGTCAGAATTGGCAAGTCCCCTTTATTTCTGAGATGTCAACTTTGACTAATGGAACACTTCAAAAGTCAAATTATTACTTAAAAAGTATCATCAAGCCATACAGGGCATTAAAGACACTCAGGGTCCGTATGAAGAATTAACGAAGTCTCTTGATCGGGCCAATATTCAGAAATGGAAGAAGGAAGCTGAACTAGCAGCTCTTCACCGAGGTGAGCTTCTCGACATCTATCAGCTCACAATGGATAAAGGTAGGTTCGGTAAAATTCAACTTTGATTGGACCTGATTATGAATCATCAAAAGCTCCAACTATGGCTGAAATAAGGCTAAGGTTGACTGAAAACGAAGTGTCCACCAATGGTAGGACTGGGGCTGTTGCATGGTTGATCGAGGGTATCAACATAGAAAATGCTCAGTAAGGTGTTCAATATTTGAGGTGTGATTGACTCAAATTGGGTTATTGAAGATGGCCTACGTTCTTCTATAAGACAACTGCCAGAGGATCCAACTGCTTCTCAGAGAACTCTGATGGAAGAAAAAAGGCAGAAACTCTTGTCTCGCATCAATAAGTTCCACGAGACTGCATTGGTTATGACAAATGGGATGGAATTGGAAGGGGGAGGAGGATTGCACTAAGATGACCCTGAACTGTGCCTGGAGGAGGCTGATGGATCTAATTTTCCAGGAATTGAAGAGCTGGGGGAAGACAGTATTTTGGACGTCGGAGATAATGCTGACTCACCTGCAGAGGTTGCTGAACTTTGGATGCCATCATGGGGGACATCTGATCCGATCATGAATGATGTTGTTATTCCATTACGTCAAGAAGAACTGGAGCTTCGAAAGGGTCAAGCAAATGACTGCCTGGAAAAGCTTCATCAAGCTCTCGGTGACAGATCTGTGGTGTTTCGAGAGAAATTACACTCCAACAAATCAATCCATCATCAGGGTACTAGATCAACAAAGGAACTTCGAAAAATCACCTTGGCCATCAACAAACATGCTCAAGAATATCGCAGATCAAGGGCAGCAATGCAACGATTAGGGGCTGATTCTGATACAATGTCATCTTATCAAGCCCTAAAGGCTGAGAACCTTACAGTAAGCAAAGAAGTCACTGAGGAAAATAGGCATGGTCAGGGTTCTGATAGGCTAGCTTGGTTTTGGAGAATCAACAGTGCAGAGGACAGCCAGAAGAGCGAGTGGATGAATGAATGTGAGTTTTAATCTTATCTGATTTTTATGAAGGTACTGAGCTTATGTTCCCCATTCCTAGTTTATCAAGTCAATTGGTTGAAAGCAAAAGCACGATATGACCGTTGGAGTGAAGAGCTGAAGTTGGTACAGCATGAAATGTGTTGGACAGTATGGTGGTTTCAGAAGCAGGAGTCGGAGTAGAGAGCAAGGGCAGATGAAAGCATCAAGAATGGGCATAGGGCATATGCTGAAAAGCAGGCTTCCATGTGGGCTGAGTTTGCAGCTGAGGGCATGAAGAGTTTTCAAGGAAAATGGAGCATGACAAGTTGATATTAAAGATGGCTTCATAATGTAATTACTTGACTTCTAAACATACCAGATGAGGTTAGGTGTCCTCGCCCAAATATTGTAATAGTAGGCCAGCCCATGATGGTGTGCAGCCAGCCTTATATTACAGGCTGCAACAGCAGGCTGGCCGATGTGGGATGGGTGGCTGGCCACTGTATACATACTGCACATCCTGTCCAACCGGCTCAGGTATAAGTGCCAGCTAAGCTGGCCGGCCCAGAGGTGCAGGCTGCAACAGCAGGCTGGCCCATATAGAATATGGCACTATATGACTGGCCGTCCACCTCATACAGACTGCACAGACTATCCGGCCGACTGAGGAATGCTGGCTTAGCACACCAGGCTGCAATATAAGCAACAAAACTATTGCAATGTTGGCATGATCAAGCTGTGGTTGATGTAGCATTCATGTAAGCAGTCCAGCTTAAAAGTAGCCATAACCATGCACAAAACAAGTCTTGTATATAACACAGTCCAGCAAGCTGGGGTGTAGGTGGCAACTAGGCTGGCCGGACCAGTATTACATACTGTACAATATGTCAGGCCAGCTATGGTATAGGACACAGCCAGGCCGGCCGACCCAGTGTTACAGGGTGTAACAACAGGCTGGCCCAGCCAGACTTTGCTAATCTTATCAGACTTGGCTGTGGTATAGGTGACAAGCCAAGTTGGCCGGCCCAGTATTACATACTGCACAACCTGTCCGGCCAGCTTGGGTATAGAACACAGCCAGGCCGGCCAGCCCAGTATTACAGGGTGCAACACCTTCTATGTCTATGAGTGACAGAAAATGAATGGTTTCTGTAGTGAGCACATCATTTTCATGATACTGATTTCAGATGCTCACCTTCTATATCTATAAGTGAGAGAAAGTGGATCGTTTCTGTTGCTTGTATATCATTTTCATGGCAATGATGTGCTAGCAACAGAAACGATCCACTTTCTCTCACTTATAGATATAGAAGGTGAGCATCTGAAATGAGTGAGGCTTAAACAGTAGATAATCAGACTTACTCTACCAAAGGAGACTGGTTGTGAGATTCTAGCATGGGCCAGCCTGTTGTTGCATCCTGTAATACTAGGCTGGCCGGCCTGGTTATGTCCTATACCCCAGCAGGCCAGACAAGCTGTGCAGTGTGTAATACCAGGCCGGCCCACATGGCTTTCACCAATACCCTAGCCAAGTCTGGCTAGGCCAGCCTGTTGTTGCACCCTGTAATACTGGGTCGGCCAGCCTGGCTGTTTTCTATACCCAAGCTGGCCAGACGAGCTGTGCAGTATGTAATACCAAGCCGGCCGACCTGACTTTCACCTATACTCCAGCTTGCTGGACAGTGACCTGCACCAAACTTGTTTTGTGCATGATTGTGGCTACTTTTAAGCCTCAATGTTCCTTACTTTGAATCTTTCTGGACTGCTTACTTGAATGCCACATCAACCACAGTTTGATTTTTCCAACATTGCAATAGTTGTGTTGCTTATATTGCAGCCTGATATGCTGGGTCAGCTATTCTGGCTATGATTATACCCTAGTCTGCTGGACAGGCTGTGTAGTGTGTATGAGGTGGATAGCTGGTCACATGGGCCAGCCTGCTGTTGCAGACTCTGTATAAAGTGGCCAGCCACAAACTCGGATAAACCAAAATGGCACCAGAAAGCTGCAATTTTTTCTGGACAGCTTACTCAAATGCTACATCAACTGCAGCTTTGAAGTGAGGTTGAGTGCACTTTCTACCTACCTCAGAGGCAGGCAGGCCATCATGGAAGCAGTATGCTAGCTAGCCCCCTTCTTCATACTGCATATACAGGTTGGCCCATGTGGCTCACAAAGGTGAAATTCAATCTGCAACTGGCTGTCCCCCTTTCACATATTGCAGAGATAGGTAGGCTGAATGCACCATTTGGGAGAGGTATGTCGGCCGGCCCCCTCTTACACACTGCACATCAGGGCTGGCCCATTCAGCTGAAATTCAATTTGCAGCTGGCCGGCCCCCTTTCACATATTGCAGAGGCAGGCAGGCCTAATGCACCATTTGGCAGACATATGTTGGCCGGCCCCCTCTTACACACTGCACATCAGGGCTGGCCCATTCAGCTGAAATTCAATTTGTAGCTGGCTGGCCCCCTTTCACATAATGCAGAGGTAGGTAGGCCTAATGCACCATTTGGCAGACATTGGTCGGCCGGCCCCCTTATACACACTGCACATCTGGGCTGGCCCATTCTGCTAACATCAACCTGGCCGGCCAGCCCCTTCCTACACCTCTGATATTTTGTTATGTGAGGCATCGGCCTGCTAGAGTTCTACAGCATTGGCCGAGCCTGGATTTACATGGACCGGCCGGCATCCGGTAGTCCAGGTTTTGCAGGCCAATGTATATGTCCTATGACAGGGTTCTACAGTAGAAGTGACTAAAGGGTCTGGAACCTGCCCTGTCAATCTCTTCACCACAAACTGTGCAGCCAGTCTCTTTGCCACAGCCTGTGCAGCCAGTCACCTTGCCACAACCCGTGCTGCCACTCGAACCTGACCAGGTCATGTTGGCGCATAATTCAAAGCCGTTGACATCCTCCAAACACACCATCGCAACCCAAGCTAGGCGCTCGGGATGCCCAGGACGTCCTTCAACTCGAGCAGAGGAAGCTAACAAAATTGGTGATACCAGCTCACAGCAAGTGACGAAGGCGGCACCTAAGAGAAAGCAGAACGCGGTACAGCCCCATGCTTCAGAGTCTCGGAAAAAGTCTCAGAAATGATGTCGTTGTAGGCCTCCAGCCTTATACATACCTACATACCTATGCACCCTTGTCAACAATATTAATTTTGAGATTTTTTGGTGTCCCTATTTGATTGATTCTGCCACGAGAAGATTCAGATCATCTAACACAGTATCATTAGCATTTTACTGATTTACTGGTAGTAAGTATCATGATATATCACACTGTATGGCTACGCAGTATACCAGAGTAAGTGATATATCACATGGAACACTGTAGCATCAATTCGGAAAGCTAAGTACTGGTGATATATCACACGGGACACTATAGGATCAATTCACATTTTAATGATATATCATTGCCCTCTACCGAGTATTAATAAAATATATTACTTGGATTGTGATATATCATGTACCTTGGCATTCTAATACTAGGATACACCATGTATCCTAGTATTAGAATGCCGAGGTACATGATATATCACAATCCAAGTAATATATTTTATTAATGCTCGGTAGAGGGCAATGATATATCATTAAAATGCTGAGGTACATGATATATCACAATCCAAGTAATATATTTTATTAATACTCGGTAGAGGGCAATGATATATCATTAAAATGCGATGTATCATGATTTATAGTGGATATGCTAGTACTCGTATGAGGCAGTGATGTATCATGGAATATATTATTAATCACTGGTGGTAGGTGATGTATCATGCTCTATCGGTTACTGACAGTGGGGGACAAGTGATAT